ATCTGCTTGGTCAGCTCGCCCGCTGCGCCGAGGCCCGTGGTGTGTACCAGCCGGGGCTGGATGAGGCCTTTGTTCCTCGGTGGAAGGGTCGCTTTGCGGCGCTGGTCCATCAGATGAACGCTGACCACATCCAGCGCCACTTTGGCGGTGTCTGCCTGCGCTCGTCGTAGGTAGGCACCGTCTCGGGGGTCCCTCTGTGGGGATCCCTGTGTGCACCTGTTGCTCCCTAGGTGGTTCTCGTTGTGATCTTTTGATGGCTTGACTTGTATTTTTGTTTTAATTTTACTTTGATTTTGACTGTATTTGTGTGGTATTTTTGCTGAATTTTTGTAAAGTCCTTTGTATGATGACTTTTCTTTCTGTGGTCGGTTGCCTTTTCAACCCGACGCTGTCTCTTGTTGTATGTGAGCGTGCCGTGGTGTTTTTTATGTTTGTGCTGTGATGGCTTGTAGTTGTGATGTGTGACTGCCTTTTTATGTGTCTAGTGGTTCAAATGGCCGTATCTCTGGTTATACTTAGTCGTTTTTCATGATTTTTGTTTCCTTGTGCGTGATTCTTCGCGCTTGTACTTTTCAGCATGATAGAAGCCGATGAAAATGTCTTGTTCTCTTGTGTTGTTTTGCGTGCCGTCGTGATTTTGATGTCGGGGTTGCACAGCTTTGCTTTCAGCTCTGAGGTTCAAACACCTAATTTATTATTACCCATCAGTACAATGTCGTCGAGGTACTTGATGACCTTGCAGCGGTAGTCAGTGGTGGCGTCGAGGAGACCCAGGACCTCACAGGAGTACAGGGCAAAGAAGAAGGGCGATAGCTCGTTGCCCTGCACAATGCCTTGGCCAACATCAATGTCAATCACCTTGAAGAACTTGTCGACAATGCAGTGGGTAGTGGGTCGAGCATAGTGTCGTTCAAAGGCGCGCAAGAGGCCAGGAACCTTGTCGGCCACAATCTCGTGTAGCCGTGCTCGGTCGGTGTAGTTGAAGGCACTCTTGAAATCGAGGGAGAGCATGGTCCAGCCCGGGGTAGACTCACAGGCTTGAAGCTCACCAAAGGCCATGCCAACCGCTGCTGAAATGCCGTCCTTGACTCCGACGGCCAACTCTGGACTGGCCTGTAGCAAGTGGGCAATATGGGGCTGCTGTTGCTCGAGCAGAGCGCGGTTGACAACCTTGTTGAAGATGGAATCCGTGCCCACGGGTCGAAACTTGCCATTGGCCTTCTCCAGGATAGTGTAGTTGATGGAGCAAAGGGCATGTCGAATCGACTCGGGCACGGTGTTGTTGGCAATGTGGTGAAAGATCTTGTTCAAGGCAACCTGAGGACCTCCAGTGGCGGTGGTGGGGCCCTGAGGCGCGTCTCCATCAGAAGGAGCAGTCGGGTCGCTGGTAGGACCCTGGCGTGGGCTGTCGTAGTCCAGTAAATCATAAATGTACATTTATGATTTACTGGACTACGACACTCCTCTTTCGGCTTACTAGTCCAAGCCCTTTAAATCCTTCATTTTCCCCTTTAAACACCTCGCGGACACTAAAGGACCTTTAAAGACCCTTACTCATATCCCCCTCTAGTATTACTCATTATCACCCTTTCATCTTATACAGTTCCATTTTTTCTGACTGCAATATTTTTTTTTCAAAATTTCGTGATTCACCCATTATATGAGTCATTTCATCCTCATTCATTTCAACCCTTTACATTACTCAAATTACCCTTTAAACATCTCGCCCTAGGATTCTGACAATTTACCTAATTGATTCATTTTAAACTGATGCAAACTACTTACACCATCGATTTTGAATCATCTTAACAGTTAGATATAGTCTGGTGCAAAAATGCAAGACTAAATCATTTTACTTTAAAAACTAAAAATATTTTTCCAATTTCAAATTCTGTTGGAAAATCAAATCTCAAATCTAGAAGAATTTTTATTTTTCTTGCATTTTTGCACCAGACTATACTTTACTCTTACTACTACTATTATCTATTGGTGTAAGACTTTTGCATCTACTACATTTTATCACAAATCATAAATCAATGACCAATCTTATCTTTACCCATATACACGCTATTCATTTTTTACTACTTCACACATCAATTTAATCACATCAATTTAATCACTCCTTTAGGAAGACTTATAAGGAGAACCACACTTCTTCCAAGCAATGTCGATTTCTTCAAGAAGTTGATGATACTCACGGTACATTTCAATGTACTTCAAGTAAGGGTCAATGGTCTCTTCAATACCACGAGCAATTGCAGAAACTTCACTGCAAAGCTTTTTCAAAGCAACACCTGAATCTTGTTCAGGTCCAACAACTTGAGCGATTTCATGGCTCAGTTGAGCCATTGACTGTGCAAAGTGCAGAGAGTCATGTTGCTTGATAAATGTCAAGGCCGACATGAACCAGTTGAGAGTCAAGCATTTTGCATGTTGGTTCTCAAACAAATGAGTCAAGTTGACTTGCATTTTGGTGAGTTCATTTGCAGCATTTGTCAAGGCTCCAAGACGCTTACCAGTACCTTCAAAGTAGTATACTTTGGCGCGCTTCTCTTGAACAAATAGCATGCCTTCTTGATGTTGCTTCGCGTTGCAAAAGGTATTGATGGCATTGAGCTTGGCACGCGTGGTCATTTCATCTTTGCTAAATGTGGCATTGAGCCAGCAAACCATTTGATGCTTGCCTTCCTTGTTCAAAGTGAAGAAAACCTTCTTCTGTGAATCACTCAGATATGACCACTGAGTCACTGCCTCTTCTGGTAATGTGTACTTGAAGTTGAGAGCCTTGAAATATTTGTCAAGCACTCCAAAGCCTTCAGAGATGAGAACTTGTTGAGGTCCTTCATCATCTTCAATTTCCAAGGTTGTAATTGTAATTGGTAGTTGTTCTTGGTTGGCAAGAACGTCCTTGACTAGTTCAAGTTGCAAGTTGTCATCTTCCGCCATCTTGGTGGTGTTGAAAAATGACTTTTACACACAATTCATCTCCATTTATAGTGTGGATAATTATGGATTTTCCGAGTCCGCCAATAATGAAGCATTTTTGGAGGGTTTGGGGTTCGAAGAATTTCACTGAGATGTTTGGGGTTCGCAGAAGTTCTTGGAGGGTATGGGGTTTGAAAAGTGTCGGACTCGGAAATTACATGATACCTCGTCTGAGTTATAAGTAAAATAAATGTTTCGTTATAGTATAATATTTTAAAAAAAGACAAATAAAGACAATATCAGACATATATTGTCAGGCTCCAGCACGTCTGGAGGCCGTCTTTGGGTTGCGAGGAAGCGCGTAGGTTTGAGGAAGCGTTTTGAGAGAGGTTTGAGAGACGTCCGTCGGAACGGAGCGAAAGCTTTGGTGGTGTCTTGAGGTCAATTGAACCAGCTGCGGTCGGCAAGCATTCACAGTGACCAGACCAGGTGCACCGTTAGAATAGCTGTAGAGTCGCTCAATCCCGAGGATAGGGAAAGTGCAACTCGTGCCCGACCGCAGGGGGGGTTCCTCTGACCCCCCCCCGCAGGTGTCACAACAAAGGGAAACAACAGTAGCCACAAGCTTATTGCCCCAGGGCAGCTGCCCAGGCATCGTGGGGACCGCGTCACACGCGGTGTTTACTCATGTGACTGCCACGAGGAGGATCAAGCCCAGGGGGTCCAAAAGTAGGTGTCAATGTGTGAGGTCGTCGTAGCTATGGAATACCAATAGGAAGACCCATAGCGACCGATGCTGAGTGTGTGCGAAAGCAGTGGGAGTGTTCAAATGCGTGG